CCATTGACTGCATTAGCAGCAGCTGACCTCTCCATTCAAGCTGGAATCCCACCAGTGAGTCTGATTTTAAACCATTTAAATACAGAAATCTTTATAGATTGGCATTGACATCAGAGACGAAATCACTCTCTACTAAGCTACAAACTATTGAAATATGAGGTTAAGTTTTTCTATACTTTTGTCATAGTCTTTTAAACTATAGGATGAGATTGGAATTGTTTTTGATATTCTTGCCTCATGCTCAGAGAGAAAGGGAATGACTCCCCTTCTCCCTGTACTAACATCCAAACATACTGGCCTTTCTAAGTTGGTCGCATATCACATGTAGATTGGTGGATTTCTAAGTTGTTCACTTTGTTTAAATACGATTTATACCTTCCTTCTGCTGGTTATCTGAATTTCTCTTTCATCATAATTTGTTCTCTCTTAGTTGTAGAAGCTAATCAAACGTTTAGAAATTTTTATCTTATGAAGCAGTCAATGCCAACTGCTTTTTGCCTGTGCAACTAAGAGTATCTCCAATAGATTCTCTATTTTTAAAGACATATTTTGCGATTTAGAGAGCATTTATAAATTTAGAGATTAAAAATTTTAAGTACTTCAATAAGCTCTTTTACTACTCCCAAAAAATATTTATTGTTTTTCCCTATCCATTATTTTTACTAGCTTCCCTCCAAATTATCATATTATTTTTCTATACTAAAAACCAAAATACTTTGAATTCATTGGCTCTCCACAAAAATCACTCTCTATTTTTAAATGTTAATATGAAGAGTGTTTTGGAGCATAATTTTACGGGTTGAAATAGAGAGGTTTTTGTGTTTAAAGAGTCTCTTGGAGATGCTCTAAGTAAGGTGATTTTGTGCTTGACATGCATAATAGCCTGTATTTTATAATCAATGTGAAACCAAAAATTTATGCTAATTGATTTAAGTTGTATGGTGATGATGAGGGATATGAAAGAGAAAGGATGAAGAAAATTGGAGAGCTAACTATATTATCAAATCTAATGGCCTAGACATTTCTCTAAACACATTACGAGTTGGAATGACTTAATATGATCTGTAACAATCATCCAAAATGCACCTATTTGTTATTTATCTTTTTTCTCGAGCAATTATGCAAAAACTGATGCTTTCTTACTAAATGTAATGACATCTCAATTTGGATTCCTATTTCTTATGTTCTGATTGAGAGATTTCTACAAGTCAGGGTGTAGTAAATGTTGTAATGGGAAACGCTGCTGATATTGGGGAAGCTTTGCTTGCAAGTTCACAGGTTTGCGCTTAGCTTTTCTGTTTAAACAATTGGATGAGAGCGCGCACACCGAAAAGAAAAATGGTTACTGAATGTTTTCTCGAACTTATATAGGTAAGAAAGATAACATTCACTGGGTCAACAGCTGTCGGAAAAAAATTAATGGCAGGTGCTGCTGGGACTGTGAAAAAGGTAGGCAATTAGGGTGCCTGCACTCTCAAATGCATAACTTTTGATACTATCTCATGTCAAATTCTCATGCCTGTAGGTCTCCCTAGAACTTGGTGGCAATGCACCTTGCATAATCTTTGATGATGCAGATCTAGAAGTAGCTCTGAAAGGAACTGTAAGAAAGCAATATATCTCATTAATGAAATTATCATGTGGACTGTTATTGTTATACCTAATGATGATTTGGAGTGTTTCATCCACTTACCGCACAACATCTCCCCTCTTTCAGCAATTTTTAGAGAAGAAATGTGTTCTAGAAAACTATAAATTGGCAAGGCAACAAGGATTTTTAGCTCATTGGTATGCCAAATGCCAAATTGGAAATGCATGTTTTGCTGGAATCTTGTTGGATGAAAATATTATTTAACATTCCCAACATGGTAGTTTTCCTTTGCCTTATCCATAGAAGCTTGGCCACGGTCCTTTTTAGTTTGCAAAACTTTGTCCTGTGGAATAACTGATCTATATCTCCCCCCCACCCCCGGGGTTCCAAAAAGCAACTTGTACCAAAATGTTTTCACGTCGACTAAAACCTCTGAAATAGTTAACAATTGACAGTGGTAATATATATAAGCGTAGAAACGTTTACAAGTATAGACAGTGACTGGAAATTGAAGCATAGATTGTTAATGGCGGACTGTATAAGAACTTTTAAAGCATACAAGTGTAAAATTGACCTGCTTATGGGAGTTCTCCGCACAGGAGTTGGAGTTGGTCGGGGTGGGAATTACTTTCTTTGTTTGAATTTGCAATTTTTTGAGTTTATAATGGACTGGTCAGTGACCATTAAATTCACTGTCAAAGTGTTCATGGCTTTTCAATTTTCTTGAATATGCTTCAAGTCACTACTACTTAGATTATTTTCGTAATATGAGATTCTATGGTCTGTATATGTGGAGGAATTTGGTCTTCGTATTCATATTTATATTGTAGTGTTGTTTTTAAGTAATCCCTCTGGAGTATGCTTTGATTTTGTTGTCCATCAACTTCTTTTTTATTCTTGTTTATGGAGAAGTACTTTTAAGCTTCAAATTATCGACTTATTTACCCTAACAAAACTCAGATTGCCTAAGGTTACATCCTCTGTGAACATCAGCGTATCACATCGTCTTTTGTGTTTGAGCAACTTAAACTACTGATTATATGTGGTTTCTGAGATGGTCTACTTTAACTGATTATGCTGTTGTTAGTATACTTAAGGACCGTCTTTGCTAAAGGGAATTGCTTACTAGTTGTCTCTGCAATTTGTTGTTGCAGTTGGCAACAAAATTCCGTAACAGTGGACAAACTTGTGTTTGTGCAAATAGAGTGCTTGTGCAAGAAGGTAATTGGTGAAAACTGAACTTTGTTTACTTGGTTTTGGTTTTGTCTTACTTTTATATGAATGTGGTGCTTTGGTGCATGTCTCCAACAAGTGGTATTGATGAATTTCCTGCTTGATTTAGTTACATTTGTTTGAGTACTCATATTTTTCGGACTATATCATTCATCATAAACATATTTTGGTTGTGATACTGCTACATCACAAATTACTGATTTTTTTTCCAACAAATGATGTGGCAAGATATAATTGAGTCAATTTCACCAACGAACTAAAAAAGAAGAAGAAGAAGAAACTCCCCCCATTTTCTTTTTGCCACCTCACCAATCTATAAAAGAATTATTAAATGGTGATGTACAAATAGCATTATTCAAAATATTTAGACATGTTTGTAGACTCTTCATCTTCTCTTGCAGGATCAGTGGTAAATTACCTGCATAATTTACTTAAATTTATTTTATGTATATATTATTTTCAGCAGAATGTTTGGTCTTTATCTTCTCTTGCAGGGATCTATGAGCAATTTGCAAATGCATTTTCTAATGCTGTGCAGAATATGAAAGTTGGGGATGGTTTTGGTGAAGGTGTGGTTCAGGTAGGCAACTGTTCACTTTCAGATTAATTTCTATATATTGTATCTTTCGGTCTCTTTTAAGTTATTTATGCATTATGTTCAGGCTTGATGTATAATGTGTAAAAATGTTCTATTTTCATGACATGACTTGCTATGATCTTCCATCAATTTGTTTACCAGTTCCTGATTTTCCCTATCTTTATAATCCGAAGCAACTCACAGATCTAGTTTTCGCTCCTCGTTTATTTCTTATGCAGGGCCCGCTAATTAATGATGCTGCAGTGCAGAAGGTCAGTTTTCTGCTTTAAAATTCCCATCCGTGTTATGCAATGTGCCTTGATAATTTTGCCAAATCTACCTTATTTGACCCCTCAGGATTTCCTCACAGGTTGAAAAATTGGTGCAAGATGCCATCTCAAAGGTTTGTTGACGACGCTCCTGGTAGAAAATAATGTTGTATTACAAATTCTTAGTAAGCAATATATAGCATGTCTATAGATATAAAAAATTCCATTTAGATGGAATTAAGAAATTTATGTTGAAGTTATATAGTTCTTACACTCATTATACTATGATATGCTTATTGCTTTTAGGGAGCTAAAGTCCTTGTTGGTGGCAAGAGACACGGTCTTGGACGGACTTTTTATGAGCCTACAGTGATGGCTGGTGTGAAGGGTGAGATGCTCATATCCAGGTAATGTTGAAAGCCTCAGAATATTCATGTAACTTGCAGTTCTTAAATTTATATAAATATGAGTCCAGCATTGCATAAAAAAATGGATGTCTAAAGAGATCCCAAAAGTTCTCACTAATTATTGGTGACATTGTTGCCTATTTGGATATGATCGTTAAATGTAATATTCTGTACACAGTCTTTGCTCCCTAATGATCATTAGTTCAAGTCTCCTCAGGGCCATTGAGGTAAGTATCCGGCTATAAATTTCAGGGCCCTGTGGGATTAGTCTCTTGATATGTATCTAATGCCTACTAAGGGTTAAGTTTAGTACCAATAAGGCATTTACAGTATCTATTATGCTTTATAATATGTCCATGACATTCTTTTAATCAGTAACCATATGAACCTTCTGAAATTATAATACGATGTCTGTGTCAATTTCCCCTAGTAATGAACATCAAAAGAAATATTAGCAACAGATACAATGGAAGAAAATATTCAGTAGTATTTGACATCTTACATTTCGGAATTATTTATAGTCCAATGAAATGGAGTCCTCCATTGTACTGCATATGTAATGCCGCCTCGTTTTTCGATTGGCAACTATTTTTAATGTCAAATGGCTTTCCACTCCAGGGAGGAAGTATTTGGTCCTGTTGCACCTCTTCTGAAATTTAAAACAGAGGAAGAAGCTATCCAGTTGGCCAATGATACCAATGCAGGTCTCTTGTTTTTCCTGGATGACTCCCTATGCTAAACTAGAATTTTACAAATTTATGCTCATTGCCAATAGATAAACTACGCGTTACAATCCTTCGCGTGTGCCTAAATCAAAGAACTTCCTAATGTCTGAAACTATGGTGAATTCGTAGTGGTAGAAGATTGTGCCTTATCCCTATGCTAAATTTGCATGTGTAAGTTGCAGGACTAGCCGCCTATGTCTTCACGACAAATGTTCAATGCTCTTGGCGTGTAGCTGAAGCTCTTGAATATGGAATAGTTGGAGTTAACGAAGGATTGGTTTCGACTGAGGTGGGTTTCAAACTGCATCTAGTGGCTGAGAAGATATAAATGTTAAAAGTTTTTGTTAATTAATTGTTATCCTTTCATGTAGGTGGCTCCATTTGGAGGTATGAAACAATCAGGTCTTGGACGTGAAGGATCAAAATACGGGATTGATGAGTTTCTGGAAGTATGTTTATTTATAATATTACTTCATTTATAACAAATTCCAAAAATCCTTATTTTGCCAAATTTGTAAATTTTCTTTTATTTCTCTTGCGATTACAGATTAATTGAGAACCTTAAAATTTACGCTACATTGGATTTCTCTTTCAACCATATTTTCAGCTGTAGCAATCACGTTCTGGTAGTATTTATTCTCAAGTCATTGGTGTCAGTGATCGTCCCAGGATCTGCTGTCCCCCCC